ACTAAAATAACATGAATTAATATTAGGATATATAATTACTATTTGAATACAAGACACTGTTATCTATAGAAATGGTTTTGGAGAATTAAGGTCTGTCCCACTACTGGCTGATAGAGGCTCAGATAGCTTATGACGTCACTGTCAGAGGGAACAAAATACGATATTCCCATCACATATTTTACTATGGATTATCAGTTAATATACAATATATTGGGACAGGCCATTAAAATCATTATTTACTGTAAATGTACACTGCTTAAGTATTTTTTATAGAAATATATCCTAGCAATTAAGAAAAATAGACGAATCCAGAGCTTTTGTGTGCACAATTTTCTCAAAAGAATAACAAAAACTCTCAAATAATTCCATATAACAGAAAAAAAATATGCAAAAATTTTTTTTAAAAAAATTTCATATCGAAAAAATTAAAAAATTACCAATTTCGGCCAATTAGCATGCTTTAAACTAACAAATGCCTGGATTTCATCCCTCAAGCATCCACGGTTATGAAAGAGCGTTTTTTTTACAAAAGGCTAGATACAGGATGTACTAAAAAACTAAGTATGCACTAATTTCTTTTAACGTTTGTCTTCAATTGTGCTAGAATTAAAAAGCACCAATGATTTATTGATAACCATAGACAACTTCTCTATTTATTTCCATCTCTTTCATTCTGTTTAAAAAGAGACGAGTCATTGCCGTCAATTGTCATGTCAAATTGAACAATTATCCAAATAGAACATCCTTTATGTATTAAAGTCCTCTTTGTACGTAAAGTATGGGAAGGGGAAATATCTACTCCCCTCTGTTGATAAAAATCAACGCATTTACAAATGCCTATAGGCAGCGATCACTTCGCTATTTTGGCGAAAATAGCGATCACTTCGCTATTTTGGCGAAAACCTCGCTCATACGTCATCTTACACTAAAAAATCAGAAATTACACTTATCTTTTTTTAATCATATTTAAACACTAATAATGTTACAATATCTTTCATATTTACAATTATAATATAAGCGTGCGTTTCCACTTCAAGTTCGAAAAACTAATTTTATACACAGTGGAAACGTACACTAAATCATTGCAATGGCGTTGGTTGATCGAGTGATAAAATTTGACTTAACCAAGATACAGGATGTCCGAGAATTGTAACCTCAATTTTGGAACACTTTTATAGGACAAGAATGCATTTTTAATGTTTTTCAAACCTTACCTTATATGGGACTAGATAATTAGAAATAGTTATACAAGAGTGAATTTCGTATTATTTTTAATTCATAATTAGTAGAACATTTTAAACGTATAAGGTAGCTGTTGCCGTGCGGCTTCATCCGCATGCAATTATGAAAATTTTCTATTACTGTTTACATTTGTCAAATTATCAATAGCAAATGTCAAAATGACATGACATTACAAACCTTGACAATCTTACTTTCTTTATGTTGGCAGCAACTTATGGTCTCTTTCCCACATTAGGGTTTTTATCCAAAATATTTACCCCCTAAGTTTAATGGCGTGAAAATATATAGTCTAAAACGTGACGTAAGTGTAGGGCTTTTTATTAAAAAGAGAATTATTCAAAAATATGGTGTAATTGCTGACATCTTAGGCAACAAAGAAGTGTGTGTTTACGCTTTATTATAATAGTACAGATAAATAAACCAATTTTAATTTATTTACATACGATATATGGTTAGAGTCAAATTTAACCACTGGATTGTCGAATCCAATAAAAAATGTCAAACAATATAAAAATCTTCTCATATTCAGTTGTTTATGAATAATCAAATAATTATGCGGGTAGTTACACATTGTTGCACTGTACATACATTTTTGGAACACTAATCGAATCACATGGAACACGCTGTATTTGAAGTCACATGGGACACTGCTGCAAAGTGTGCGTAAATGCACTGAATGCAGCTATACTAGACACACGCGATAGTTTAATCCAAATATCGATCTACCCGCATTTTTTTATGGGATATAAAAGTAATTCAGTTTTGTCCCCTAATAGTCTAGAGCGCGATTGCGCTCTCTCAGAGATCAGTGTTTAAAAAACACATAAAGTAAACACTATTCTTTCTCCGTTTTCTTACGCTTCTTCTTCTCCGTTTTCGTTGTCTTCTCCGCCTTCTTCGTCTTCTTCACCGTTTCCTCTGGTTCTGGAGAAACAAACTCCGGTTTCCTCTTTTTTGGTGGGGATTTAATTGGAGATTTCTTCTCTTGTGCTGGTTCCTTCTTCGAGGATCGTAATTGTTTCGGTGAGCATATTTGTTCTTTCTCCGGTGTTGTAGATTCGCTGGACTTCTCCGAAGATTCCTCTGTGTTCTTCTTCGCTTTGGGATCTTTGGAACCATCCCCTGGTATCCCCAGGATCTCAGCCCACTGATCCGGTGGTGGTGTGGGTTGCTTCTTCTCTTCCTCCGTTGACTGATCAGCCGGTTTCTGTGAACGGACAAACGGTGTACAGAGATTGTATATATATAGATAAATAATTAAAGCGAACCTGCATCGGACGTGTTAAGTTATTTTTTCAAATCTGGGGTTCGTTGCTGTTTACATTTCAAATAAAAAAGACGCCAGCGATTAAAAATAAACAACAAAAATTCAATTTAAAAACGTTAAGCCATTAGGGGGCATGCACACTGGGCTAAA